CCCCAAAACCCCAAAACCCCAAAACCCCAAAACCCCATTGAGAAAATAAATTTGAAATGAGTTATTGAAAACAATCAACAATCAAAGTATATTAAAAGCTTGCTTTTACATTATAGAGAGAATTCGTTTCATTTAGAATTTATTGTATTCACTGGCCTGATACATGCTGGAAAAAGTAAAGCTTGAAGATCAGAAGAAACATGCACTGCACACCACAGATAAAGGCTATCACTATAAATCTCTTTTTAGCGTCAAGGGACTCTTATAGGTCATTCCAGTATGTTACCATTAGAAAGCCAGTTGAAGTTACTGCTGAATATATTAGAAAACCCCATTGTAAGCCTGATATTGGGAAAGCGCAAACAAAGGCAGTAAACAAGAAGCTAGTGAATGAGTAAGCGTAAATACCAAGAATCTAGCAAAAATGAGAAATAAATAAATTATACCTCAATAAAAGAGCCACTGAAGAAATTGGCACCCATGAATTTCATCAGTAATTTTAGAGCGAATGGAAGGCCTAAGCCAGCTGAATAAATGACTGTAGCAGCAATCGGAATAAAGTTAAATTTGTAGACGAACTTCTGAGTTTTATCACTTTGAAGATAAAGTGAGTAGTTTCCAGCAACTGTAAGTACAATTATCAAAGTTGTGTAAATCCACATTGGCCCATACAAATCTGGCTTACTTTTATACATAGTGTAAAACTTTCTGTTAAAAGGTATGAGAGAAGCAATAAGTCTACCGATGATATCAGCAGTCGATACATCAAAGTACACTTAGAAGAAATCTATTGACAAGCATGGGCAAATTTTCGCATACCAGCTCTTCTCACTCGGGGCTAGATTTAACTATTGCTATCCAAGGCCAGCGTCTGATCTTAATTCTGGTTCTTATCTTATCAGAGTAGGGTCAATGCCATTTTATTATTGCTTGTATGAATTGTTACTTTTCTTCTGCACTTTTTTCTTATCATCGCTATCACTAGACACTGAAGTATTTCTTCCACTCAAATCTTGCATCTAAATGTTGATATTGTCCATATACATATCATTGTCAAATTAATCTATAGAGATTATTTTCAATTTTAAAGTTTATTAGTGGTTTTAAAAGCTTACATTCTGCCATTGTGTTTCCTAATCGATTAATTATTGTTTAAATTTATATGCTGCCTAATAAAACATGCTTCGAATGTGATCACTTGGGGTTTTGGGGTTTTGGGGTTTTGGGGTTTTGGGGTTTTGGGGTTTT